ATTTTAAAGTATTATAACATATTTCTTATATTAGATGTCACCATTTATCAGATCTTAATACGTGTATATTGAATTCTTATAAATGATAGACAAAAGTTTACCAGGCATTGGAATAGATTGAATTAGTTTAAGGTAATTGTTAAAGCCGTTTTAAAGAGGGGCTTCCTTGTTTTTTTTAGTGTCAAATTAAGCAAAGTGTTTCTAATGAATTATCATATATTCTTAATCATATCATTATGTTCTTATTACATATATTTAAGAGTTTTAACCAATCATAAATGTCTACATGTGTATGGACATGTGATACAAACTGGTATTTTTCCAAGTCATTAGACCACCTCTACTTTTATTCGTTTCATTATTAACATTTTCATATCTTAAATGAAAATAAGGGGCCCCATCTTCAACTATCATATCTAAATACTCACAGATGTCTCTATTATATAGCATAATAGATTTAAATTGTTCAGTTGACTTCAAGTTAACACACCACCATGAAGGAGTTTTCTGTTTATCAGTGTGAGAACAGTAATTGATAGTATATTTGCTATCAGTATTACCATCTACAGCACGTGATGATGATCCAGTTTCAAATGTTGTACTTTGGCTTGTTTCTTTACCCAATGCCAAGTTCACTACAGGAAAAATTAGAGTTGAGTAACGTTATAGGTTATATATATCAAAAAGCTTAATCAATATAGCAAGTATCTTTAAATTATAGAAGTAATCAAATCTTACCTGAATGTTTTGATACAGTTGTCTATTCCTGGTTTTATTAGATTCATTTAAATATAGATTTATTTTTAAGACAAGATCGGTACTAGAGTAGTACGTATAGCATGACAAAATTTCTTTATATAGTAAGGAATTGAGGGGTAGCCATCATATTGCTCTACTTTGGGTTTCGCTATCTTATGCACCTTTGCGACGGGCCTTTGGTAGAAAACTTGTTAGATTACAATGGAGACTAAAAATAAAAAAAAATATGAATTTGTAAACTAATTTGAAATAGACTGACTGAAATTCAAATTTTCTTTTTACGAACTACTGAAAAACGATAAACAAAAATCTTCATCCATGATTAAAATCACGAATATAAAAGGTACGAAACAAAAATAATTTAGGATACAAAAGCTGTATATTCTGAAATTTATGTCTGGTAGCAGTTACTACCAATAAGTGAATCAAAAAAGTGCAATCCAAGTAGGTCTGTAAATAAAAAAAAGAGTCTTTGGCAGAGTAGCTTGACCAGAAACCGTGGAGAAAAATATTTTTTTTTTGCAAAACAATGCAGTGTGTTCGAAGAACAAAACTGAGATTACACTAATCACAACTAGCTAAAACGCAAAATATTCCAAACCTTCAGTAGCTTTGACGTCTAAACTGTAGGATAAGAAAGCCAAACCGAAAAGTTTACTGAAGAACATTGTGACTATGACTTCTGTAGGTAATTGTCGTCGAGTTGTGAAGATTAACTATTAAACGTTGCATTTATATAGCAAACATCATCGAATAATTTATTCATTGAAACATTCTGTAATAAATGTTGTGAGCCCATGCAGTTAAATTCTTATCCCCTATTATAGGACTTCGAAATAATAATAATAATGACTAGAACCGTGGACGGTACCGGGGCAAGGTGTATCCGGCTTATCTAACCCGCGAAAGAACCCTTAGTGGAATTTTAACAGAAAAAAAGAAGAAAGGTTTGTGTTATGGCTTCGTTTATTATTGTTACCAAAATTATTGTTTACATGTATTACTCGAGTCCCCATTTTACGCGCTACGTTAATTATCCAAATCAATCATTTTATGCGCAACTTTTTCGTAAGGAAAAACCAAACCGTTTTTAGAATCAAGCATGTATCATGGCCTAAGTTTTCTATGGTTTTACATGTGGTAATCAGGTGAACGAGGTAAATACAATCTCTGAATCATTTCTATAAGCTGTTTTTCTGTATTATATCATGTATAAGCATGTGCTGTTGTGCTGCATATTAGTTTTGTGTATTCCAATTTTCTCGCTGAATTGTT